TTATTTCTAGAATATCACTGTATGTGTTAAAGTGGAATTCCTAACAACACCAACTAACGGTACTGCCCCACCTAATCCTGCCCCTGTCACCGTGACAGTCCTCAACCGTACAAACGCCTATCACATCACAAAAGAGGCGAGTAAATTACATCCCTGTTACAAGTTCACCACCGTAATGACGGCTTATGGAAATTCCATCACGTCGATCTGTGGGGTGTACAAGGAGCCGGCCAACAAAAAGTACTGGATGATCTTCTCTGCTCCAAACACTTCATCAAAAACAGGAGTCGACAACTTTTATCCAAAGGACGGAAGCTGCGTCATTTACAAGTTCAAGAAACTGAATTTCTTCAAATAAGATATCGAAACAAGGCAAAGTAACTAATCGTCACGGCAAAGAAACATAAATGTAGTGCATTATTAGAGCAATAAATTAAAGCAAAGTGAATTATCTGTCTAATGATTTTATATTCAAAGAAAAAAACAATCTTTTAATTGTTTTTTTATGTTGCTTATGATTATTTCAATGTCTTAAAACATTTCACATCCAAAATCAGACTGACTTCCTTCACCTCCCAAATATCCGCATGGGTGGGTTAGCTTTTACACCATTGCTTTTACATAATCTACTGACATTCCCGGCCATATGYCTCATTGCTTCGTTTAAAATGCAATTTGCATATATATATATATAACACCTTCCTCCTCCTGCAAACAACACCGGGGAGAAGAAAATGAAAAGAAGACGGCATTCGGTGGGCTTCGTTCTCTCCATTTTGCGCACAGGAAACCCAAGATTACTTCTATATATAGCTGGAAGTATTTGGTTGTTTAGCCTTCCCTTGGTTCCTATGCAAGACAAAAGGCAAAAGTGTGTTGTTTCCATCCGGTACTACTGCTTCGTTTACCGGCGCTGCTGGTTTCCATTTCTTGTTTTCACGCTTTCGGGAGGATGTCACAAAAACTAGTCAACAAAATTAGTACCTGAAATGAATTGTTGACTGTAATCAGTACCTGAAATGAATTGTTGACTGTAATCAGTTGTATAATTGGAAGCCAAAGTGACAAAAAAACCCATATCAAAAGTGTAACAGTAACTTACCAATCATATAACACGAGAATAATAGCCAGTAATTGGCGGATACATAATTCTGGTATTGAACGAATATATCACCATCCAGAGAATATAATCATAATTATTTTAGCACAATTCCAACTATGATCAGACAGCTAATCCTTTTTTTCTGGAATATATAAATGGTTAGTAAGGAATAGTCTTGCCTCAACGAGTTGAATGGTGCTATGGAAAGACAAGYAAAAAACTGCGACCTTAGTTAGCATTTTAAGATTTGTTTCATATTGTTTCTTTAATTACAATATCTACAACATCTACAATAACTGTTTTAGCGTCTTGCTATTAGTAGTATAACTAGTCCTGATTGGTCAAAGAGGACTTCTGGAAAAGAAAGATCTAATCGGGTTTCTAACGCATTATTCGTTAAAGGTAAGATAGCATGTTAACCAGGCTTGTGTTTACTCTTTGTTTGATTTTTTTTCTTTTTTTGTTTTTGTTTTGATTTGCTTTCTTTCGTTTGATTATTTTGCTGTTTTTCTTTTGTTACTTTTTCCTTACAGTTGCAATATCTGCATCTATTCATTTTCATGTAYTACTGTGACCTTGGTTTAATAACATTCAGTGATACTTTGAGAGCTGTGTTTTCGTATGAAATTAAGTAAAGAAACCAAATATTGTCAATTCTACTTGACAAACAATACAAAAAAGACACACAGACTGGCTATTTGCTTTTCTATGGCAACGGCACAAAAGTGGAAGCTTTCATTGTACAAGTACAGGCTGAAGCTCTTTGGATTTTATTTAAATGCACATTTTTACAACAATTCRGACAATTTTGTACCGCTTATAATTTGAAATCGTACTCAGGAGCGATACCAAGGGATGCCTGCCAACTAAACGTACTGAAAATAACCCAAAAAATAATGCTTTTATATAACATATTTTTTATGTTGGCTTCACTTTTTTGTCAAAGTACCTTGCTTCTTCAAACATCTCTGTGAACTATCTCCGGACATACATTGTTAGGACACTTGTTCATTTGAGAAAAATAAATAATGTTTTTTTACAATCAAAAGAAGTTTGATTGTGAAAATATGAAATTGAGCGTCTTCAGCAAACTTTACCAAAGTAACGTTATTCAACAGTAAATATTGATTTTTMTGTCAAAATGTTCTCTGAGGTCTTGCTGTCGTTTACATTTAGCTTGTTTCTCATACGAGAGGGAAAGACGAGAAACRAATGCCGCAGACAGATTGGACCTACAAACATCGCATGATGTACTATAGTACCTTTGTACTGATTGACTTTATGCTGATTGRATATACTGCAGGTTCACCAGTATTTAATCAAGGTTAGTACTCCAATCGTTGTTGATGAAAAAAGGAAATGTGAAAAGTCAAACTTGCAAGTATTTTTGTTTTAAGTGTTTTTTTGTGTTTTTATTGTCTTTTTATAGGTTATGAAAACAGAGATTCCAACATGAATTCTGGGCTATCTGATGAWATTTCAGTAACAGACAGAATTATTGAAGTAAATGAGAGAAGTAAGATTTGGGGGTCTGAATATATATCCTTTTTTAATCAACACTATTCGATCGACCAGTGACAGCTCAGTCAATTTCCTGTTTAAATACCTACCCTAACCCGGCCTTACTTTAATAGAAGGAAGAGATCATTTCCACACTGATATTATTCTCTTTTATACCATTTGTTTGACACTTGCTACTCAAATAAAACACAAAAATACACTGTCGAGAGCTGCCGACAAGTACTAGCTTCTCCTTTTCAGCAGAATTTGTGTTACAAAGAAGTAAATTTCCATTGTTTAAGGTGCTCATAAACCGATGTTTGAAGGAGACATTGAACTSACTGATCACGATCACGTGGATATCCATGAATATGGTGACGTCGATGGTACCCTTGGAAACCACCCTAAAAGAAATGCACAGAGGGCGCGACAAGGATTATGGATAACAAAAATCGTTCCTTTCGAAATTCATGCTGACCTGGGTAAAAACTGCACTTGATATTAAACACATTGATTAATACAGTTTGATGTCAGCCATTGACACACTTTAGACCACTGCACGGACGGTCCTTGTGTCTTGACACACTTTAGACCACTTCACGGACGGTCCTTGTGTCTTGACACACTTTAGACCACTGCACGGACGGTCCTTGTGTCTTGACACACTTTAGACCACTGCACGGACGGTCCTTGTGTCTTGACACACTTTACACCACTGCACGGACGGTCCTTGTGTCTTGACACACTTTAGACCACTTCGCGGACGGTCCTTGTGTCTTCAAAGGAAAAGAACACCCTGACAATTTTTCCATTAATTTTGTTTTGTTTCTGTAGATAGTTACCGTGACAACATTAAAGCCGCCATAAACCAGTTTAACGTCCATACATGCGTACGATGGGTACCTCGTAAKAATCATGACAACTGGGTCATMTTTGTCAAGAAAGATGGGTATAAGTCATATCTAATAAATTGCGCGTTCTCTCGTATCAGTTACACTTTTGATTTCAGAAAAATGTTTTAAGAATTTGCGTTCAGCTGAACATGCGATTTTAGCGATCTCTTTTACGCTGTYTTAGCCTCAAAACCATGTAATAAATTCTTTTATTCACTACAGCCCGTGCAAATGCCAGAGATCTGTGAGTATAGAAGACAATGGAAATAGTTTGAAATCTCACGAGTTTTATCTACATTTCTGAATATTTTAGCACACAATTGAGGCTAACACAGCGTAAAAGAGARCGCGAAACTCGACTATTATCCCTTGTGCTTGACACAAAGGAATTAGCCAATCAGCGCGCGAGGATTAGCACAACTGCATAAATGCTGTTGAATTCAGGTGTTATTCAAGCGTTGGTCGTAAGTATTGGAAAACTGGTCCTCAAGATCTTAGRCTTGGTAAAGGATGTAACAATAAGGGTACAATAATGCATGAAATGTTACATGCTATTGGTTTCTGGCATGAGCAATCACGTCCTGATAGGAACAAGCATGTTGAAGTKTTATGGGAAAACATTAAAGCAGGTAACAGYCAAAAATCAGCAAAAATATATTACAGGAAAGAGTGACCTATTACTTTATTTCCAGGAAAAGCGCACAATTTTAACAAATACAAACACGAAGCCGTTGATGTCCTTAATACCCAGTATGACTATGGAAGCATAATGCATTATGGGAAATATGGTTTTTCTAAGAATGGTTACCCCACCCTACAAGCTATTGGAGATCCGAGTWTAAACTTGGGACAACGTGATGGGTTTAGTCAGTCGGATATCATCAAAGTGAATGCACTCTATGACTGTAAATGTAGGTTGCAGCAAATGATGATGATGATGATGATCGTAATTTCACATTCAACGGGCAAACCACACAATATCATTTTATCAATTACTTTTTGTGACGTTTCAGCTACAATTCCTGGATGGAGTTCCTGGACTGAATACTCACCCTGTGATGACAACTGCTATAAGTTACGCCAGCGGTTTTGCACAGCAATTGACAGGAAGAAATTCTGCCCTGATGCTGACCAGAATGGAATTAAGTCTGACTACYTTCAATGTACACAYAAAGAATGTTATGGTGAGAATMAAAAAAKCCCTGATCCACAAGAGAAACCAGCACCTGGTGGAAGGGTACTTTTTGATCCTGCACTAGGCATTGTTTTAGTACTGTTTGTAAGTTGATGAACTACACCCCGCTGGGTTTACTTGTGTCCAATTTTGATGCCTCAAACATTGATAAACTGATAATAATATATGGTTAACTTGTCGCCATGATAACATGTCACCGACGTTTTTGTAAACATGCTAACTGTTAGTTACGATCGATTTTATTGTATAGTTCCAGTCGATGGTCACTGGGGACGATGGTCTTCCTGGTCAAACTGTAATAAATCGTGCGGAAGAGGACAAAAAAKTCGAACCAGGTCTTGTGACGACCCCCRGCCCAAACATGGCGGAAAAGATTGTCATGGTAACAGCARCAGCTTTCAGTCTTGTATGCTGGCCAGTTGTGGACTAGGTAAGAGAAGTATGATATAGTTGTTATTACAAATGATAATTAAACTTTTGGAATAATCCTGTAGTAGGTGGAGGGGGGGTTACTAATTCAAAAGTTAAGTCATTTTTTACTATTATTTTAATCACGTGTGAGTAAAAGCCGTTTTCACTGTAACCATCATAACTATTCTATTTATTTTCTTTCTCCATACCAGGACCTGACGATTGTGAATTTGAAAGAGATACCTGCCATTGGTTCCAGCCAACCTCCGAAAAACAGAACAATTTCCGTTGGGCCCGAAAGTCTGGCGGGACTCCAAGCTCTAATACCGGACCTACAGGGGACCACACGACTGGATCCGGTAATTACATAAGAATGATTTAGACTGATAGTTATTGACTTAATTAGGTCTCTGTAGCACCGGAAAGCGTCGAGATCCTGCAAGACAATCACTGTCTCTCCCAGCTAGTTGTTTTGCATCACTTCCAATGAAAGGCCATGAAACGTGAATAAGTGAAGTATTTCACCATTAGACTTTCATCTTTACGACCATCGTTAAATCAACAAGTCAAACACTTAGCTCTCTCTTTGTCTTTGTAACTTTATAACAACATATTCACGTGCTATGTTTACTATATATATATATATATATATATATTACTTTCCTTACTTTGTATTCATTCTGATGATGGCGTAAGTAACGCCGAAACATGTCAAATACACCACATTTAAAAATCGTAATTGTTATTTTAAAATTACTTTCATCTTTGATTTTAGGCTACTATGTTTTTACCGAAGCATCTCCCTCAGCACCAAACCAAATAGCAAATCTTGTGAGTAAAGAATTCAAGCCAACAACTGGACGGTGTATGACATTGTTTTATCACATGTATGGAGAAGGCATGGGAACGCTGAACATCCTCATCAACAACACAAGAACAGCAGAAATGAAAACAGTATTTACTATGACAGGAAATCAGGGCAAGCAATGGAAGGAAGGACGGATGAAACTCACTTGCAACGATTATTACAGGGTAAATATCATTACCAGACAACTATACAACAATATACGATGCAAGGAAAAACCAACATTTAGGTTYTAGTGATGTGGCACTCGGTATGTTTTTATTTGTAGGTTGCCATTCAGGCTGTTCGTGGACCTGACTATAGAAGCGATGTCAGCATTGATGATGTTAC